GTTTCTCCATGCGCTATGCATCCTCGAGAATGAGCTGATGTTCCTGGACGAAGATGATGAGACCTGTTCGCTCACATATTCTGTAATCTCCGTCAAGAAGCCCCCATTAAGTCCTCGAGCGAGTCCTTCGAACTCTGATGAATAAGACCGGAGACTTCATTCAGTAAAAGGTCTGGTAATAAAATTGCTAAGCGATCAATGTATCCACTGTTAGAAAAAAAATGAAATTTCATGGCCAGTTGACTTCCATTTTTCAGGACAGTGACACTAACTGCGATTTAGGGGAAAAAAATTATAAAATTTAAGGTTTCACTGAAAATTCAGTAAAATTCCAGAATTTTAAGGGGCATAAAGACGAGAATTCCTTAATTTATTTGAATTTCCTATCTAACATGAATTCTCAGTTTCAAATTGCATTGAATTTTCAGTGAAATCTGAAATTTTATGATTTTTCCCCCTAAGTCACATTCAGTGTCATTGTCCTGAAAATTCAAGAATATATTTATCAGAATTTTCTGGTTTTCTATTCATTTTCAGGAAAAATGGAACGGAAATTTACAGTTCTGTTTGATTTTTCCACGAAATTCTGAACTTTCAATGATACGATTTCCTGAAATTTCAGTAGAATTGGAACACGATAAAAATTTGCGGAATTTGGCAAGGAAAATTCAGACAGAAATTTTTAATAGTGTAGTAGTTTGGCAATTTGTTACCAGAATTTTTATTAAATAAAGCCTCCGGCCCTACTGAAGAAGTATTCATTGTTGAATCAGAGCAAGACGAAAGAGTTTAGCTTCCTGATTTTTATTTTCTGATTGTGTCATGTTAAAAAAAAAGTCCTTTTATTTGAAAGATTTTTTTCCCTTTTCAAAAGAATTAGAAAACAATAAATGAATAAATCGTGCATTCCTATGGCCGTTTCCTACACTGTTAAAAAAAGTTCACTGAAGTTTCCAGGCTTTAGTCTTGAAAATGAAACAAGTGACGGTTTCATTGAAATTCCAGGGAATTTTACCATTGAAAATTCGTGGTTTTCGGGGAAAATTCGTGGAAATTTTAAATTTTAGTTAAATTATTCCATGAAAATTAACGGAAATTGGGAAAATTCAAGCAAAAATATCCTTGAATTTTCAATTTTTTTAAACTTCAGAGCATTTTCTTATTGTATTATCATGTTTACATTGAAAATTCATGGAAATTCCGGAATCTTCATGGTTCTTCCACCGAAAAATCAGATATTTCCTTGAATTTTCAGGGAAACTTGAAGTTTCATAGACTTTTTTCCGTTAAATTGAATTCAGTGTCATTTTCTGGAAAATTCAGTTAGATTTTTTTAACAGTGTAACTTCTTTGTAACATTTTCCCAACTTTTTTCATACGTAAACACAACCACGAGTCAATCAAACTCATCTCGTTTTATCACTTCTTCACAAACTTAATCCTATCTTTATTGGTTGAAGCTTTCATAGCAAAAAAAAAGAATGATTCACTTCAATATGCAATTTTAATTTTTTCACCTCGATGGTCGGTTTGTTTTTTTATGTCATTAGGCCCGATAAACCGCGATTCTAACCTCGCTTCGCTCGATTAGATCGCGGTTTTCGGGCCCAACGACATAAAATAGCGTATATCACACGGCGATAAAAGCATTTTCTGGCGAATGTGATTATAATCCTCGCCTTCGGCTCGGATAATAAAGCCACATTCGCCAGATAATACTTTTATCGCCTAATGACATAATATACTGTTAGTGGATAACCTTTTTCCGATAGATAACCCTCAGTTTAAACATCTGAATTCCACGAGAGAATGCAACTTCAGATTACTCCGCCATGATGCTTTTCGAGGTGTTGAGTAATATTTTTATTGAATTTATTGGGAAACATCGGGAGTATTTCGGTCGAAAAACTCTTCATTGAACGATGGGCCTAAATGTAATATTTTCACTGGTATTTTTTTTCTGTTTGATTGATGTGGGGTTATTGCTTCCGAATGGAAGCTTATTTGTAATCGTTCAAAATTAAGTTTTGGATTTTTTGTATTAGATCAACCCATTATTCCAGAAAGTTCTAAAGTGAAATTTTTAGATTGAGCCCGTATGTATGTGTGTATGTGTATATGTACGTGACCAAGTTTTTCTTTAGTTGTTTATTAATAAATCGATGGAATTCAATCTTTTTTTTTCACATGTAGATATTGTTGAGTCCTAATATCCATAAAAATTCATAACAATTCAATTCCTATATTAATTTTTCGAATTTTCCATTTTTTCTACAATCGATTGTCGCACGATAACTTTAAAAAAATGTTTTGAATTCATTGAATGCTGACTTGAAAAAAAATTGTTTCGATATCCCTTTCACCGAGTTCGAAGATGAAGGCAATAATAATAATCGTGGTTTTGATTTATAAAATGATTTTCAAACTTTCGTATTTTTCGAAACTGTGAATTCCGGACATGTTTTTGGATATCATGGTTCAAATTATTTTAATCATAGCTTAAAATATTCATATTCGTTCGGTTAATTTCTATTATAATTTTTGCAAAATTCGAATGTGTCTTAAATTTCTCTTAATAGTATATTGTCAGTATTGTTGTAGTATATGTCATAAGGTCGATAAGTGGCGGTTTGAGAGGAGTGTTGCAAACTCACACGACTCGCAAACCAACGCTATCGGCCGAATGACATATGCTATTTTTTGTCATGAAGGCCCGAAAAGGGGGTCGGGCAGGGGCGCAACCCCTGGCGTATTCTACATTGTATTCTATGTAAAATCCACACAATTTCGAAATCGAAATCGTGCTCCTGGGGTACATGCGGTCTCATGAGCGACAACCAAATCAACTCACTTCACGCAGCGGCTTTATCGGGACTAGGCCTGGTAAGTGAATTTATCGGGACTAGTCCTCATTTAACGGAACAGTACAGATAATCACCATCTATCGGTTTGAAAATAGACCCGTAATTGGCACTTATCGGGCCTCAATGACGAAATAGTAGATTATGTCATTAGGCGATAAAAGTATTATCTGGCGAATGTGGCTTCATAATCCGAGCCGAAGGTGAGGATTATAATCACCAGGGCCCGGAAGTTCGTGTCGCTAAAATCATGGGGGTGCCGTGCCTGAATCGAACAATGAAAAAAAAACAAAACAACTGGAATGTCAGAAAATTGGAGGTTGCGTTTGATTTAATTTTCTGAAATTGATGTTTTTTCTTCTTTTTTTTTTTCAAACACTTGAGATTTTATTCGGGTGTAAAGAGGGGGGGAATGGGATGATCCATAATTATAGAATCGAATTGATAAATAGAATCCCTGTCCTAAATGACGGGAAAATTGTGTGAAAATAGTGTACATTGCCACACTATATTCAGATAATTTTTCCGGCAATATACTCCACAGCCTCTTAGATTCACCCTAGGTGAATTTATTTTATTGGAGATGCTGGAGAGGATAACTATAGCCATCCTGGAATGTGTCCTAGGTGGACACCTGTTGGGACTGCTGGGAAAAAGCCTCTTAGGTGTCCTTCTGAGTGTCCTAGGTAGAATCCTGTTGAAACTGATGGGAAAAATTCTTCTTAGTGTCTTTCTGAGTGTCCTAGGTAGAATCCTGTTGGAACTGATGGGAAAAATCCTTCTTAATGTCCTTCTGAGTGTCCTAGGTAGAATCCTGTTGAGACTGCTGGGAAAAATCCTTCTGGGTGTCCTTCCGAGTGTCCTTGGTAGATTCCTGTTGGGACTGCTGGGGAAAATCCTTCTAAATGTCCTTCTGAGTGTCCCAGGTGGAATCCTGTTGGGACTGCTGGCAAAAATCCTTCTAGGTGTCGTTCCGAGTGTCCTACGTAGAATCCTGTAGGGACTGTTGGGAAAAATCCTTCTAGGTGTACTTCCGAGTGTTCTTGGTAGATTCCTGTTGGGACTGCTGGGAAAGATCCTTCTAGGTGTCCTTCTGAGTGTCCTAGGTATAATCCTGTTGGAACTGATGGGACAAATCCTTCTAGGTGTCCTTCTGAGTGTCCTAGGTATAATCCTGTTGGGACTGTTGGGAAAAATCCTTCTAGGTGTCCTTCCGAGTGTTCTTGGTAGATTCCTGTTGGAACTGCTGGGAAAAATCCTTCTAGATGTCCTCCTGAGTGTCCGAGATATAATCCTGTTGGAACTGATGGGAAAAATTCTTCTTAATGTCCTTCTGAGTGTCCTAGGTAGAATCCTGTTAGGACTGCTGGGAAAAATCCTTCTAGGTGTCCTTCTGAGTGTCCCAGGTGGAATCCTGTTGGGAATGCTGGCAAAAATCCTTCTAAGTGTCCTTCTGAGTGTCCCAGATAGATTCTTGTTGACAATTCTAGCGAGAATTATCCTACGGGAGCTTTAAAGTCGCCGCGGGAGAATCGTGCTGAAGATACTGAAGAGATTATTTGCATTATCCTCCAAAGTCTCATCGGGAGAATTCTCTCAGAAAGGCTGAAGAGTGGTAACAGCTATCCGCCGAAATCTCCATGGCAAAATCACGCCGGTGATTGAAGAACACTCTGTCCCTGATGATAGATTATTCATCCCCTATACCATTTGGATACCTCTATTTATCACCCAATATACCAGGTGCCATACCAACCATGCTAAAGAGCTTGGTATCAGCTTATCCGGGATGTCACAAACCTTAAAGGAGTCTGGCCCACTGGTGAATTACTACCAGTGCTTACCTGGTCTTAGGGAGTATCGATAGTTGAATGAAATGTCTGACGTGTTATGAAGGTCTCATGATATCAAGGGCGCAAGGGCATGTCGGGACGAGGAATGAATGAATAAGACTCAGCTTTACAAGAAGCATCCAAAGTACACCAGGGCCAATCGAATGAAGTGCAAGCAGTACGATTCCTACCGAATATACTACCATCAACTCCACATGTATTTTTCCGGAATTTCAGAATTATCCAAATTTTATTAAATTGCTTCCAATTCATCTAGATAAATTTTACTATCATGAAATCTTTATTTAAAAAAAAAAACTACAGGAATTTACAGGAGAAAGGAAAACATGAAGCACGATTTAACGTTTTTTCTCCGATTGCCGCAAATTGTCACAAAATTTTGTAATGCATTCATTATAATCGAAAGTCGATAGAACCAGCTGACGCGGGACTTCTTTACGCATGAACTCTGAAAAAAATTGAATTCATGATTTNATCGAAAGTCGATAGAATCAGCTGACGCGGGACTTCTTTACGCATGAACTCTGAAAAAAATTGAATTCATGATTTTTTATTCATTTCAAACCGAAAGTACATCTTTATTTACTTTTTATCACTCGCAAAATTGTCCTTGGAATTGCTTCCCGATTCCTAGACCCTGTCCTTGTCATCTTCAGCAATTTTTTTTTACCAATCATGTGTTTGAGGAGCCAGCGAACAAGCTCTTTAGGTTTCTTCAACCAGCGATCTTTCATGTCTCGCAATTCAGCGCGATCAACATAAACGGAAGTTCCGGCAATGAGCTCAACTCGATTCCTTCCGCTCGTCGTCCAGTCTACAGAAGAACCTGCGTCGCTATCGGAACAATTGCTACCGGCATAAGTATCCAAATCCCGGCCATTTGACGACCTTTTCGATTCCGTTGCATTTCGCTCAGATGGAGGTTTTGTAGCTCGAGAAGTAGAGGGCGCTTCCGAATTGAAGACTCCCCGGAATGCGGAGCGACTGGATTCATTATGAGTTTCACAATTCTTAGACCTGTCATTATCTTCACTCACATCTTTCCCGGAATTCATAATCAAGATTGATCTCAATTTTTGAGCTCTTGCAGTGTTGGATGTGGACGAGGATCGTGGGTGGAACAGGAAAATATCACCACGCTGCTCATTGAATGCAGTTGAATGATCTATGGGAGACCTCGTGATGATTGGGGCTGTTCCCACCGACTTTTTCTGTATTGTCCTATCCCTACGAGGAGAATGTACTGAAACTACTGAAGAACACTGACGCGGGTGAGATTTCAAGGGCGATGAGGTCTTTTGTGATACTCGAGTTGTAGTACTGTGCTTTGCACAAGTTATATCACTACTTTTACCACTTTCCCTGGAAAATATAAGAATAAGAATAATCATAATAATCGAAGTGAGAAGTGACTATCTCCATCAGAAATTGATGAATTCCCGTGAATACAAACCTGAAATTTGAAGACATTGTGAATTCTGGGCAACTTGAAGCGAGAATTTTACGTGGCACGTCTGCAACAGAGCATTCAGACGAAGCTCCAAGCTGCACATGTGAATTTTCGGTGGTTTTGCGAGTTTCAGTGCGCGGATTATTTTCCATTTGTGAAGTCCAGATGTGCGGGGGTGAAACGTGTATAGAAAGGGTTTAATATTAGTGGATAGTGCACTTTGTTGCCAGAATCGTGGGGGAACTACTGTCGGCTTCTGAAATTTAGAGATAATATAAATTATCATCATAAAATAATTCATTGTTTTTCTTCCATCTTGGAGTTCTTTTTAATACTGACTGGGAAGTTTTGGATATATGAGGCTCGGGTTGATTTCGTTCAACACTCTTTTTACGTGCAATAACGGCGAGAATCTCAACTTCAGGGTCACCGACAGTTGAGTCATTAGTGGGTCGTCGTGAACTCGGGGCAGAATGAATTTAGATTTATGCAATGGGAACTCCTTGCCTTTTTTATTCACTTGACGTGTTAGAGTGCTTGCTGTCGTGTCGTTAGAAATTAATTTATTGTTTTCTGGCCTCGTAGAGTGAGGTACAGAAGTAGCGGCCGGCGTTTTACGTGGAGAGAAATGTTCCGAAGTTGCACGGTTTTTTGAGTGCAGTGGAGTAACTCTGTCGGTACAATGTGGATTGGAGATGTCCTTCGTCGACTGGGTGATATGTGAAGATGTCTCAGGTGAAGAACTCACGACTCTTTCATGCTCAGAGGGTTGATCGTTCATTGGGTTCAGGGAATTGGGCAATTGGGATTGAGAAAAATCAATAACACCAGTTCTTTCCACGTGCAAACCGTTCAATTGTTCTATGTCATCTACCAACGAAAAAAAAAACATAAATTGAGATAAGATTAATGGAATGAATACGATTATAATTTACTTACTGCTTTCAGCCAGAACTTTTGCCTTATAATATAGTCCATCGTCGAATTGAGCAAGCACAATGACCCTATTATTCTCTCTCCTAATTGCCGATATTGGTAATATACTGATCGTTTTATCCATCCACAAAACTAATGCCCATTTCATGATTATGGTACTAATCAGGAGAATATAAAAGCGGTTATCAATCGATACAGCTTCGTGACTCAATTTGCGAAATTTGGTTAACTCGCAATCAGTTCGATCCAACCGTATGATTGATGAAACTGTATGACAGTTTTCGATTACTCTTTTTTCTATAATCCACTTTTTTTTTGTTTTCCTGGAATCAGTACTCACCGGTGTGAACATGTTGAGGAAGAATTGTAGTTGGAACGAATCATAAAATATATACCAATTCATGAATTTGCAAAGTTGAGTCGAATGAGCGAAGTTCGGGAATATAAATATAAATGCAGAAATAAACAATGCAGGAATACATACAGTTTTTTTTTCTTTATTCTTGACTATGAACCTTCTTTCATATTCTTTTTCTTTCATTCTCATTTTTCTCTGACAAACATCTGAGTTGTATATAATCTTTGAGTGTTTGAGGTACGTTAATACATTGTACTGAGCTTACTCGCATATTTTTTCTAAATATTATTTTCACTCGTTATAATCGCACTCTACTGAGATAAACAGATATTTAACAAAAATGAAGAAACTGGCTCATTGAATTCTGCCATTCTGGATTGAGTGAATCAAGTGAATAGAGGAAATTATGGAAGAGATTGAATCATTCTCATCAATACAGTAAATCCAGGTATCTGGGCTCGGCTTCCGCCTGGGAAGACTCTGGTACCCAGTAGAGATATGTGGCTATAGACGTCCCGTGAGAATGAAGATGGAATGAGAGGGATATTTATGCATTGCAGTTGACTATAATGTACTTTCGGAGATTTTCAAATGTGAAACTGTGTAGATTTTCGCGGAGGAGAGCTTTGTAGTGAGAGAAACTTCTTTCCACCTCAGCAGAATTGATCAGTGCATACTCCATGCGACGTACATCATCGAGCGTCCACAGAGGAGCATTAGGAAGAGGAAAAATGTTCTGACGCATGTCTCGATCAATTGTGGCCATCTTGCAAAATCCTGAATTGACGCTAATAACAGCCCTCATCTTATTTTTGATCGTTGCAGGAATTTCAGCAGCGCTGAACACTGCATTGACCACAGTTCGGACTATTTGCATTGAGTCCTGGAGACGGAGGCTCAAAGATTGTAGTCTCACACTAGCTTCACATATGCATTCGAAGTTCTCTCGAATCATGGTGAAATCATCCTGTAGGCCGGGTTTTTCGAAATTTCTTTGAACTCTTCGAATAGTCTGAGTATCAGGACCAGATTACGTATCACTTCTCGAACATTGTGAAAATGATGACTGTAATAAATTGCTGCATTTATCCAAGTACACCACCGAGTGATCACTGCTTCTGGAGGTAGTGCAACACCAGGAGCAAGCTGTTCAAATAGTTCAACTCTTCGAGGGGCTTTCAAGAACACAGCCTTCGTATCTGCAATCACATTATCAGCATTCTCAAAGCAGCTTCGAACCTCCAACGCTAATCGGTGGAACGCGTGGATGATACAAGTAATATGTAGCATTTTTGGATATTCCTCTTGCAATATTCTCCCCGAAAGCTTCATGTAGCGAGCTGCGTCTGTTACTAGAACCAATATGCGGTCTCGATGAATTCCCTCAGGCCGCAAAATTTCTAATGAGTCCCTGATGAACTGTGAGATCGTAACGTTATTTGTCCTAGGTAGTTTCTGACAGTGTATCAATCATGGAGTACCTGGCTGACCAATGAGTAATGGTATGACGATCGCATGGGCTACATATCGACCTACCGCATCCGTCGTCTCGTCCACGCAAATCCAAATCGGATTATCACCAATTTCTCCTCGAATTTTCCGAATGGTGTCATCAAATGAAATGTCCACGTAGGTTTTGCGAATAGTCGATGGATCTGGCACTGCTTCTTGGGTCCATTTTGTCAGGAACTGCTGACATATTTCCATAGTGAGTTTTTCGGGGGCTATATCACACTTGATCAGAAAATCACACAATTCCTTGAAAAAGGGGTTCTGTTTTGTAGTACATGCAGCGAAGGAACTAGGATCAGGACGTGGTAGTCGAGCTTTCCGTCGTAAGGCTGCGAGATGTCCCCGTGAATTTTCGTGACGTTCAACACTCGTTAATGTCAGAGTAGGACGCGCCCAACATTTCAAACATATCAGCTGCGCACCCACCACCTCATAGTGGTTCGGTGGAATTTGAAGCTGTTGTGAAATATTCCGCCACCGTTGATTAACATTAACTCTTGCCCTCGGCATCAGTTCTTATTTCTCTTCAAATGGGGGTTACGCGAGACTGGCTTTATTTGACATTCTCTTCAGTACGTGAACAAATTCAAGGTACATTTGAAACAATTGAAAACGGACTGAAAACTGCGGTAGATTTCATAGAACTTTTTCATCGATTTGCTGTTAGAAATTGAAGGAAAACAGGAATGGAGAAATCTGAGTACAAAGAGCGGAGTTGGTGCAACCCATTAGGGTTCACACCAATCGCTCTTCAATTCATCATTTTGGTCAACGAATTGATGATTTTTCGAAAAACAATGAGTTAAAAATGCGAATTTTCGACAAATAAAAATGTATTGAAATACCGGAAGAACTGCTGAATCTTTTTTGCTGAGAATCTGATCAGGTTCAAGTAACCTGAAGACGCCAGCACACAGACATAATTGCTAACCCACGCACTGAGACGCACATTCATAAAGAAGTTGAAGGAAATAGTGAAATAGTATTTTAAACGATGAGCGTCTAAACGTGCTCATTAAAATGCTCATTGACACACGAGTGATGGTGATTTCTGCAATGCACAACGTGTGCCAAATGCCGGTTGACGCACGGGGTGTTGTAGAATCGATTTTCGGAATGACTACATCCCCCATTTTATTCCCATCAGTTATACCAGATCCCTTTGATAAATANCATTACGCAATTAGTGCGGAAAGCAGGCGGTTACTCACGAGGGCGGCGCAGCCTGCTGTCCGCATTGAAGAAAAAAGATCAGTTTTATTTAAAAAAATAATTATAAAAAAGTGTGATTTAAAAATTATGCGGAACTTCTGAAAAAAAAAATTAATTATATTCATTAAATATGTAGTTCAAAAAACGTAAAGTATTTTTAATTGAAAAAAATTAATTATAATAATTACAAAATACAATTTTCAANCATATTTCCAAAGTGAGTTTTTCGGGGGCTATATCACACTTGATCAGAAAATCACACAATTCCTTGAAAAAGGGGTTCTGTTTTGTAGTACATGCAGTGAAGGAACTAGGATCAGGACGTGGTAGTCGAGCTTTCCGTCGTAAGGCTGCGAGATGTCCCCGTGAATTTTCGTGACGTTCAACACTCGTTAATGTCAGAGTAGGACGCGCCCAACATTTCAAACATATCAGCTGCGCACCCACCACCTCATAGTGGTTCGGTGGAATTTGAAGCTGTTGTGAAATATTCCGCCACCGTTGATTAACATTAACTCTTGCCCTCGGCATCAGTTCTTATTTCTCTTCAAATGGGGGTTACGCGAGACTGGCTTTATTTGACATTCTCTTCAGTACGTGAACAAATTCAGGGTACATTTGAAACAATTGAAAACGGACTGAAAACTGCGGTAGATTTCATAGAACATTTTGATCGATTTGATGTTAGAAACTGAAGGAAAACAGGAATGGAGAAATCTGAGTACAAAGAGTGGAGTTGGTGCAACCCATTAGGGTTCACACCAATCGCTCTTCAATTCATCATTTTGGTCAACGAATTGATGATTTTTCGAAAAACAATGAGTTAAAAATGCGAATTTTCGACAAATAAAAATGTATTGAAATACCGGAAGAACTGCTGAATCTTTTTTGCTGAGAATCTGATCAGGTTCAAGTAACCTGAAGACGCCAGCACACAGACATAATTGCTAACCCACGCACTGAGACGCACATTCATAAAGAAGTTGAAGGAAATAGTGAAATAGTATTTTAAACGATGAGCGTCTAAACGTGCTCATTAAAATGCTCATTGACACACGAGTGATGGTGATTTCTGCAATGCACAACGTGTGCCAAATGCCGGTTGACGCACGGGGTGTTGTAGAATCGATTTTCGGAATGACTACATCCCCCATTTTATTCCCATCAGTTATACCAGATCCCTTTGATAAATAGTAGAAATGAACATGATTTTATTGAAATGCAACACAATTACTTAATGAATCAATACGAACTAATATGAAATACCAAACTCCATGTACTCGACTTTGAAATTACTGCCTTAAAATTTGAAGTATCCATAAATCAGAGTAATATATCACACGAAACCTTCTCAGCAGCA